AAAACCAAAAACCAACAAACAAACAAAAAAAAAAAACTTTCATTTGTTTGTTTGTTTTAGAGCTGGTCTTCCTGTGTAGCTCCAGCTGGTGTAGAACTCACTCTAGCCCATGCTGGCCTCACACTGATCCTCTTGCTCCTGACCCCCATGTACTGGGACTGTGGGTGTGTGCCACTAGGGCAGAGTCTTGTCTTCTAGCCTTGACTAACACACCTGACACTCCCAGAAGCCAACCTGATCTACATCACCCCTCACCCAGATTCCCAGCTAATTCTAGATTGGGTCAGGTTGACATTTAAAACTAACCATCACACCTTGATTCCTTACCAGTCACAACTTCACCCCAGACACCCTCAAGTTCAGTGGCTGACAAAACAGCCTCTCCTTCCCAGGGGGCTCTGAAGGCTAGAAAACAAGAGAAACTTTCTTCAAATACCAACATTTCTGCCATGGGACAGCAGTTTTTTCAGCCTGCTTGTTCTACGGGAAAAAGAGTAGCTAACAGGAAGCAAACCATTATTGTTCTCTGTCCCTCTACAGTGCCACAGTGCATGGTGAGCACAGGAGCGTGTACTCACACATGCACATGCCTCTCCTCTCTTTCTCTCTCTCCTTAAGTAACCTAGACTGTCCTTTGCCCTATTGGTCTCAAGCTCTCAGGGATCCTCCTACGTCAGGAGGGTGTCTACCTTAGGCTTGCCTGAGAGCAGGGCTCTTCGAGCCTCTTTAGGGAGAAGCCCAGGGGAGAGGTAGATGTCAACATGCAAGGTTACTAAACCATTCAACTTCCAGACCCTGGGAACAGGTCCTCCAAGGGAGAATGACTAGCCCTGGGCAGTCCTGCCACCAGAGCTCAGTCCCACCAAGGAGAACACACCTGAATGGATGGATCTCCTCCATTACTGAATTTGTTCAAAGATTGGCCATCTCCTAGAAAGTTCTAGAACTTTCTTATCTATGAAAGAAGAAGACAAATCCTTTCTTCCTGCCTCTTCATGCTGCATTATTTCCTAGGTTTGTTTGGTTTTATTGATCTTCCTAGGGATCTGTGATTCAAATGTTTGTATATTCTCTACCTATTTAGA